CTATTTCTAAATCTGTCGAGTCATGTATTTTTTTCCTAATTCTACTATTTACATAGATAATTGCAGTATATTTTAGAAAAAAGATTATTCGATTCATGTTGACATGAACTATCTAATGATATGTTTTTCAAAAGAATTCGAGCTCATCCTATATATTATTTTTCTTGACAAAAAGAAACGAAAGTTACTGGCAGGATTTTACTGTTTTCCAATGTCGCCTAATCCATAAGGTACACATAACACAAATTTGTAGTGGATTTTATTTTTCATTCATTGGTCTTTAGGCTGATAGATCTTGAAGAACTGGTTATAAATAAATAATTTTTATTTCAATCAGATTATCCTTTCGCTGCAAAAAGTTCTGAATACTAATAAGACCTCATATATAACCATAATCATTTTTTTTCTCAAAATAACTCGTAAGTTTCTATAATCTTTTTCTTTTTAAACTTTTTCAAAATAGATTTTTTCTAACTTAGCATCAAAAACTGAGTAAAAAAATATTATTTTCTTGGATTCAAAATACATAAAGTAAAAAACCACTATCAATATGTGTCAACTTATAGCATATTTTTATAGTCATTTTTGTGATAGTAGACCAAATATTTTATCACATTTGAATCAGCCGGTTTCGAACTACAAAATTAGCTATTTAGTTTTTTTATTAAATTTTGTCTTATTGTTGAGAAAACCGAGCATTTTCTTGTTTTAGTAATAAACGGGTCAAAAATATCCTAATTTATTGCAATTCCTATTGTCGAAACTCAATTGAAAAACAAAATAAACAGTATATTCAGGATCAGCATGAAAATATACACTAAGCCACATATAATTGAGCAAATTCTGTATCAAATGGAAAATCGAGCTCGGGCGAACCATAAGTAAAATTTCAGAAGAAAAATGCTGAGTGGAAATACAAGTGAATTTTTCGTTGAAAAGTGCTTTTGCTGAAATATATGTGGCTCGATGTAGATTGTCACGCTGATTCTGAATATGCTGTTTATTTTGTTTGTCAACTGAGTTTTGATAATAGAAACTACAATAAAAAAGATCATTTTTTGCCCTTTTACTATTAAAGTAAAGAAAAGTATTTGTATCTTCAAAAAACTTGTTCTAATTAGAAACATAACCTAAAACTGTGGAGCCAAGCATAAAACGAAAAAAGAACATATATAATCGTATTTTGCAACGTATATGATCATTTGCGACAATCATTATCTTTTTCCAGTGCTCCAACTTACTTGAAAAGGCTGATAAAAACGAGTCAGCTAGTCTGGACTAAAAGAATGAATCGACCAAGCATCAAAGTATGAATAACTAATTTCATTGCGAAACGTTCACCTTATTAAAAAAAACCAGTCATTTCATTTATCATCATTCATTTTCTTCTCCTTTCTTCATCTATTGCATGCATCATTGATTATCAATATTTATCTCATTCGTACAACGCTAAGGAGACTGTAGTCGTTTGTGTGCGAGTGCATCCATATGAAACTGTCTCACACACAACTATTATATTTTTTTTTATAATACAATATATTTCAAAAGCTACCATATAGGAGATCGAGTAAGTGTATATTTAATCGTGTGTCATGTTTATACAGTATGGAAAATATCAAACGAGAGAAAGAACAGATGATTTCGTCTTACTACTGATCTACAACAGCATGCTTATCGTCATATGAAGAAGGATAATCTAATGAAATCATGCACATATAACGAAACTTAGTTTCGATATGAGAAAAGATGAAGAAGAGAGAAGATAAATGTACATTTTGATATTCTTATGTACTAGAATGATATATGTAAAACAGACTATAGTACTTTTTCAAGTCTAGTTAGAATCGATTTCAAATCTTGTAGGAATGATTTTCAACCTAACTGACATTAGTGTCATCCATATCTACGATTAGGAGATCATAAAATTGAATTTTTGAAATCTTTAGTTTTTAAATCATTGTTGTCATTCTCAGTATTTTGCCTTTTTAAGCACTCTCTACATATTTTAAAAATATAAAACATAGTGTCTCTTGTAGAAAAAAAACACTCTCTACCAGTTAGTCTAATAAAATTTGTGATATAGAGAGTCTAGCACTGATTTTTTCCATAAAGAAGTTTGTAAGTTTCTGGATCTCTATCTATCATCGTCTAGTCATGAAGAGTGCGACATCTTGTTCCATTTTCTTTTCTCTTTCAAACGACAAGCTCCTCAAAAAACATCAATTCAAGTGTCGACGAGAAAGAAATGAATTATGATATAGCTATTTTTTGAGAAAATTGACAATAATCCATTTTCTTTTTGAAAACTTCATATCTTAACAAAAAAGCATTGTTTTGATCTAAAACGTTGGTTAGGGAAGTTACTCGGCATGGACTATTAAATTAGCATAGCATGGCTTGCTTTAAAATTTTGATCATATTATTTGTATTCTTCATAGAATGGTAGATACTCTTTTTAGACCTGAAAATGAATTTGAACAGAGATTTATTCCATATGTTATTAGAATTTCTATTTTCGAATTCAAAATTAAACGTTGATACATTTATTTATATATATTAATGTATAAATTAAAATATATTCTACACTGTGTTTCTTGTTGTCTTTGGGGAGAGCGTCTCAATTATCTTTTATTTGTCATTTTCATTTCGGAAAAATAATTTTTTTTTCTTCATTGAAAGATGGTTTATACAGTCAGTAGTTCCTGAGAAAATACTGACAACTATACTTGAGTATATAAGCAACACTTTAGATCAGTATCATATTTTATTAGGAATTACTTCTACACTTAAACTATCGAATTGAATCATTTAGAGTGCTTTTCAAATTGAGTTTTTCAGACCTTTAAGAAATTTCTATACTATCTTTCAAAAAGAAACACTCACATAAAATTTATGACATAAGATTCCACAATATTCTAGTTCTTATATTTGTATTGAAAAGCAAAATTGAATAATGTAATTGCATTATACTTCTCAAATAATAATGAGAACATGGAATAATTTAAAACACTCATTCAAATCAGAAGCACTAAGAAGCTTGAGCTAGACATAGATAAATTCGAGATTTATAAAAAAAAAAAAAGAACAATAGCTAAACAACAACCAATATATGATAGAATAAAAAGATAACGATAAATTTATCCCTTAAGATTGATTTTTGTCAAAAACTATCAAATGATTATGTAATGATATATTTAGTTTGTACTTAAAATGTTCTATCAATATTAAAGAAAAACATATTTTAATAAAATAATTTTCTTTTAAGAAAATTTAAAGCTTGAAAATTTACAATCACAAATATATTTGTTCACACCAATAGAGAATATCTAGGTCTTGCAGAAAATTGATGCAACTTTTTTCTTTTCTATGCGTTCTGCAATTTGATAGAGAGGAAGCATTGTAGAAGGAAGCAAAAATTATTCCGCTAGTAGTATTCTTTTCCATATTAATCCTCTATTGCTATCAGAATGCATGTTATTATAACAAAGCGTAGTAATGAATTACGAGGTCATATTGATCTTATTTAACCTTTGAACTTCTTTTATTCGTAACGGAATTATACGATATGAAAAATATAAAATTTAATGCGTAAGTTTATGATTTAAATTTTCTCAATATTGTTTATATCTATTATTTTATTCTATTTATTTTATTCTTGTAAAATGATTATTTGTCAACATGTTTATTTAAAGAATGAGCATAAATCAAAAGTGAATGTTAAAATTTAAAGTAAATCATAGTTTTGATGATTTTAGATAAAATATTAATATGAATTTTCTATTTTTTTTTAATTTTTCTTTAAATCTAAGTTAATATCGGTAAGGTAACACTTTTTTTTCTACGTGTTGAATAAAATGAAATTTTCTTTTAAATTAATTACGTAAAACGACAGAAAAAAAAGAACTGTCAATCATGTCTTTATTATTTTTTTTCCTCTGCTTACATTTTTTAAGTAAAACAAGTCTATTGTTCATTTTGCTACTATTTGTCTTTAGTTAAGTTTTGAAATTTACAGAATACTACGTTGACGTGTATGAATTTTCTTTAGTATATAAAATCAATCTATATTCTCGCTATAATTTAGCAATACAAAATATAAAATATAAAAGACGTACGTAGTTATGATCGGCAGTTATTTCTTTTAAAATGGTTATTACATCGTCAGTGAATAGTTATCAAATCCTATTATAGTAAAACTATTCCGTTCTATTCGATGCCACTTCCGATAGAAAAAAAAACGTCAATATAAATGCAATATGAGTAAGTAAGAAGACATAAAATCCTTTTTTTTTTGTCGATTATACTTGATGCAAAAAATCAATAGAATAACAATCAACAAGCTATATACTTATAAAAAACAGGTTCTGTTAAAGTACCAACTTCTTTTTTCTTTCGACTATATCATCAATAACGTTGCAATACATAAGAATGTCTAGTAATAGAATGCGAATATTAGTAGCTTAATTTTGAGTTTTGATAATAAGTTATATTTTAAATTGCTTTTTTTTACGAACGCAAATACATTCTTCTTCCTTTAGCTTATTAAATCATATTCTCATAGTATTCTTTTCTCACAAGAGCAAAGTAGGAATGACAGAGATAAGATGTGCTTGATAACAAAAACCTATAAAAGAGACAAACTATTGCTATTATATGATAAAATGTAAAGCTGCGCTTCACTTGTTCTCCGATATGATCGACGACTACATGTGGTATATGTACATTTTTACTGTCTTCTCTCTTTAATTATAGTGAAAAGAAAAAGAACGTGATTCATTGCATGCTTCAGTGTTTCCTTCATGAAGTTTTATTGTTAAGTTTTTTTTTTCTTCGTGAAACAAAGAACACGTCATACAAGCATGCAGTTATCGGTCGATATTTATTCTCGTGCTTATTTTTTTTCATAAAAAAAAAGTGTATACATAGAAGAGAAAAATGTTGTTTAGGGGTTTTTTTAAGTCTTAATGGGCAATCACTTTTTTTTTTAATATATAGGTAGAATGCGTCGTATCACATTACGTTGGATTTTATCAGCTATTGGAATATCTATATGCTGTCTTATATTGGTATTTATAATAAGTAACTTCGGTGATAATACTCGTATAATAGAACAGAAACTAGTTAAATGTGATTGTTCATCAACACAAAGTTCATTTTCTCAAATAACTCCAACAAAATCAAATCTTACTCGAAATGAATCCATATTAAAACCATGTAAAGAAATTCAAAAAAGTTCTCCTGTACAACGTGCCATTGTTATCTATTATCCACATCATCAAAGTGAATATTTTTTTCCAGAAGTCAGATGGTAAGCATACTACACATAAGTCCATAATATATTAATAGACTGTTATTTTGAATTATGTTTTTTTTCGTCATAAAATAATCGATTGATTACCCCCTTTTCAGAATAAACTATTTTATTACTGATATCGAAGTTTCCTTGAGTGTAGAATATAAAATACCTATTAACAAATATTTTTGTTTCGCTTTTTACAATTTTTTATCTAAGTGAAGCCTTTTCTTTGTTTCTTAGAGTATCATACTTTGAATTCCATTTATTTTGTTAAGGCTTTATCGCTCATGGGTTGAAATGTTACTTGGTCAACCATCAACATGGAGAACAGATTTTGTGATATTTACATATAATTTTTCGATTGAATTTCGACAACTTGGTTGTGTTAATCATATACGTCAAGATAAAGAAGAACCATCTATTTGTCGTCTTTTTCTTTATGTACCAGTACAATTTCGAACAAAAAATATTACAAATAATAACTTTCAACATGCATTTGATGATGCAAAACGTGTCATGAAATCATATAAAGATATGAATGATTCATTTATTAGTGTACCATTAGTAACTGATACAGAAACATTTGATGCTAAACGTTCAGAATCTCTATATGAAAATCTTCGATCATATGGTTATATTGATTCAATTAATGCAATTTATGAAGGCTATTGGACCTTTAAAATGTATGATTTTATTTTACGTACTGATATTGGTAAGTGTACAATTTTTCATATGTATATTAACCTAGTAATATTTATTACTTCTTTCATAAAATGAAGTAAAACAATCTTGTGAGCATTCGATGTGATTAAAATCTAATCTAATATGAACAAAACAAGATATTGAAATTGACGGAAATTCTCTTAATTTCATCGTAATGATTGTGAAAATTAGTTTAAGAAAAGATTACTCAAATCGATTAATATTATTTTCAAGGATATTTTCAATACTTGATAAGATTTTGTTCAGGATTTTTGATCATTTGACTGATTTTTCAATATCAGACAAAATATTTGCAACAACAAAACAATGAACAGTGGAATTTTAGTTGAAACTTTATTCATTTATAGACCACATAATCATTAAAATTTTGTAAAAAAATTTGTGAAAATATTTTTCGATTTCGAAATGGTGAAGTCTTTAGGAATTCTGGTTGTCGATGCTTTTTATGACATAAGAGAGAGTTTTGATAAATTCATTTTTTTCGACGAAAAACAATTTGTTTTGATGAAAACTGTTAAAGAAATTCTAAAGACCATCAGACCAATAAACATCCAAAATTTCACTGAAAATGATATTCTTCTATGTAAAATCTTCATTCATAAGAGAACAAGATTTCATCATCTGATTGAACATAAGACATTGTGTGAGTTCGATAATAATATATTAATTTCTGTCATTGTGTTGCATCGGATGACATTGATTAACATCAATGGACTTAACTGACAATATGAGAAAAATCTATATCGGTAATATGTTGTAAATAGTGTCTAATCAAATATGTAAATTGTTCTCATTCGAAAGAGTAAAGTCTAGAAAGATACTGAATTGCAAGTATACCGGGTGTCCCAAAAGTCATAATCATTTAATAAATGCATATAACTCTACTACTAATCATGCTTAGTTCAAAACTTAATTTTTTATTTGAAATAGAAGACTAGTAAATTTTTATTCTTAAAGACTAAATTCGCCAACACTGTAGAAAAGGTAACACTTGGAGCTAAAATATACAAATTTAGTTTTTTTCGATGTCGAAAATAATATACAACATTTTTATGTCAATATTTACACGAATTTTGATCATTATCAGGAACTTCAATCTTTTCATTATTGCTTTATAATCATTTTTTGACATATTTTAAAAAGATCGAATAATTGACGCATTTCTTCACTGCAGGTCGTTCATAACTTCGAAAATCATTCTGACCATGAAAACGAGTACGTTAGACCATTTCATAAATCTTCTTGTTACTGAAATTTACTTTCTTGTTTAGTTTTCTCAAGAATTTATTAGAGTCAGTGTTTATAAATTTACCGAGATAAGGATTAAACAATCTGAAGTCCCTACGAACGATCAAAATTCGTATAAATATATAAAAAAAACCGCTGCATATTGTTTGTGGTATCGAAAAAAAGTCAAATTTTTGTATTGTAGCTCCAAGTACTATCTTAGATTGTTTTGCAATCTTGGTTGAAGATTGTATTCAACATTTATTTTTAATCATGTTTTAAGTATAAAATCAATCCTTATAAATGTTTCATCATTAATAGAAATAGAATAATCGATACAACCTATTAGATCGATTTACCTGGATGTTTTCTTATCAAAAAAATTTGAAGAGTTTTATTTACTTCATACGGTGATTTGGACACTTATTCATCTCTTAGGAAAAAAAATACCAAATTCTAAACAAATAATTCAAATATATATAGTTTTTGAGTCAATATCTTTTGGGTATTTGATTTCATCGTTAGAATTGTGTATATTGAAATAATATCTTGTCATCAACAACATGCATTCGTGAAGAACGGACGTAATTATCCGATATTATATAATCAGCGCATATTAGTGAGAAGTTCAGTGTCTGTATGTCCAATTATATAGAACAATTATGTATAATTAGTGTATTGTCCAACTTGAAAGAAAATGAGGATACCGAACATATAGTGAGTCGCGATCATTGTGTAATCAGGCTAGTTCATGTGACAAGATATCACTGATTGTTTTATCAAAATAAGTCTGACATTTTTATTGCTCAGGGTTTATTTATTTATTTATTTATACTCAAAAGCAATAAATCAATTGATTGTGCGAAACAGAAACTACATAAACTATATTGAAATGTATGCGACGTATCATAAAGCAGAAGTAAACGGGTATTGTATAACCTAAAACACATCGTATCAATCACGCTCACCGCTAAGGAAATATTTTTCTTTCGACCATGTCAAAATAAAGAGTGAAAAATTGTACATATACGAAATTTAATCAAGAGTGCGAGAAATAAAAAAAAAAAAAGAAACAACGAACAATTCTATTCAAAAGAAATGTTTGTCTTGTTATTTTTAGTCAAATTTATATATTAAAAAATTGTATAACGCATGACTCTCTATGAATCTTCTTTGATTTCTTAGTCTGCACATTAATGACATATGATTCGAACAACTAGCTACTGTATTATATCAATTATAAAGAAAGACTATAAACAGTTAAATCAAGTATAACTCTAACAGTTCTAAATGAAAATTTTTTTTTTATTAAACATTATTATTCAATTTCTTTCTAATATTGTTTATCTGTCTTTTTATTTTTTATTGATTTCATAAAATGATTTTCTCATATAATATTATTTAGATGTGTTTATTTATCGTCATTTTGCAACATATATTCCATCAAATTGTACTTTCATAACTGGTGGTGGTGGTTATGGTACAGATTTTAATCGACGTAAATTGAGACGTATTGCTAATGATATGGGTTTTGCACATGCTAGTATATCTGGCATGGGCTCTACTTGGTTTGTTTGAACTTCTTTTCTAATAATAATATTATTATTCTTTTCTTCATGTGCAGGTATGGTTCACCATATGATGGATATCTAGTCGCTAATCAAACATTACATGGTATGTTATGGTTAGCACAATATGAATTTGCTATACCAGAAAGAGAATCTAAATTAGGAACATTGATGTGGCCTGAATGGTAAATATTTTTTTTTAAATATGCCAAATAAAATACTTATTTATTTGTAGGCATTATGGTGTTTTACTTTTATATGGTCAACATTTAGCTTTAAATCATTTAGTTGCTACAAATCAAATTCGAATACTAATAGGTACATATATACTTGATCAATCGACAACAGACAATACGGTGCAATATATTACAGAAGGTACACGTCTTAATTTACATTGTTGGCATACAGATCAACGGTTTTCGAAATTTGCTTTTAAAATGGGTCATTATAATCAAAGTGAATTAGCAAAACATAAAAATGATAAGACTGCTCAATCTTATGTAAGAAAAAGAGAAAATGACAAAAAAAAGAAATATGCTAAAAATGTCTGTTTTTTAATTTATATTTAAGGCAATGCGTATGGCACTTGAATCAAAATATATGACACTTGAAGAAATGGCTGCATATGGAAGAAATAATTCTTCGTCATCTTAAAATATATTAAATAATTAACACATTCTATTGAACAATTGCAATACGATTCAAATTACATACCATTGTAGCAAATTATTTTGTTCTTTTTTTACTCATAATGCATATACAACTGCATGGGATTTCATGATAACAAAGTCTTATGTTGATTTAATAGAAAAACAAGTTATTTTTGTAAAAAAAGAAACGCATTAGTATTGCATTTTGATATTTTTGTTTTCGTTGCTGTGATACTGTTGCTTTTGTTTTAGTTAATAATTAAAATAAAATAAAGAAGAATACATATTCGAAAATTACAACTTTTGTGATACAATTGAGATTTTAGCTAGATTTCTTCATTAACTTTTATTTGTATAAACGAATTTGAACAGTTTTTTTACATGTTCTTTTCTTGTAACAGTCCAAAAATAAAACAAAACTTCAACTCTCTACCTCAGTGTCGCTCAGCTATGAAAAATATATTATAGGAAAAAGTCATTTTTTCGAGATACGAGCAAAGAGAAAGAAACTTTTTTGTCTATAATAACACAAGAGGAAAAAAGATTTGAATAGTCTATTTTGTACAGCATTTGATGCTCTCTCTTAAAATATGTGTTTGATTTCAATGCAATCTCTTATTCATTGCCTTTTCTAATATCTATATTGTTTGACAAATACTTGTATGTTTTTTGTGTAGTGTGACATAAATTTGGTCCTAGCTCACTCTGTGATACAATTGATGATATATTGACAATATGAAATGAGAGAGAAACTTGTCACTGACAGACTAACAAGAACAAGTCCTCTCTTGTCACAATTGTTTCAGATAATAATTATATGATTGTCTGAAAAACACCATTAATACTCACTTTGTTGAGTCACGAGTTAAAAATGATTTGCTCGAGAACTTTTTAGTGAACTGTTTGATTTGGTTCAAATTCCTACAGTAGATGTAAAACACAAAATTCTATAAAAGGTGAATATTTTAGGATTTGATTTTATTATGTTCAGAAGAATTTTACATTTTAACTGCAAAATGTAGAATGACATTTTTTCTGCAGATATTTTCAGTTGAATTGATTCGAAAATAAACTATTTTCAGCTATGATTCAACTCAGAAGAATTCGATAAGTAAATAAGAGTGCATTGTGATCTGTTACGAACTACATATTTCTCATACGGAGCTAGATATGACCTGACTCTTTTCAATAAAATATTCGGAAACTTTTGGCACATAACACAAATAGAGAGTAGAGACAAGTGTTCTAATTCTGCTAGAAAAAAACAACACTTTAATATTTACTTGATAGCTGGAGTTATATACGTGGTTGAGAAGTCATTTTCTATCTACGGAGACAAGCAAATATTTTTCTGTCAACTGATATAAAACTAATTTAAAAAAGTCAATCAATCGCTCAAGAGAAATGTGACAATAGAGAGAGTGTCAAATTTGATTGGATTTTAGTCTATTTCTAAATCTGTCGATTCATGTATTTTTTTTCTAATTCTACCATTTACATAGACGATTGTAATATATTTCAGAAGAAAAGATTATTCGATTCATGTTGATATGACCTATCTAGTGATGTATTTTTCGAAAGAATTCAAGCTCATCTTGTATATTATTTTTCTTGACAAAAAGAAAAGTAAATTGCTAGCATATTTTTCTCTCGTTTTAATTTTGTCTCTTCATAGATTTGATGTTCCTCATTCTGGCGAAGCCATATAAAATACATAAAAGTGCCAAATATAAACTTGTGCATGTTAGCTCGACTAAAACAAATAACCATCATTCTTACATCATCTGAAAGCTCTATTCGAAAGCTACATGATTGTATAAAATAAACACAAATGAATCCTGTTTGACTATTAATTTAACTATATCAATTATTGAAGTTTTTTTTAAACCTAAAAAATCATTGTTAATAAGCACAACTATGTCTTAATACTTCAGAAACTTTATACTAAAAACTAAAATCAGTTCAGAGACGATACTTGGAAGTTTTTGGGATAGTTAATCTTGTGCTTTGTGCAAGTCTAATTGTATTCTGAGTCTACTCATTCAATGACGATAGAAAACATTTTTAATCTCCGACTCAATAGAATAAATGTATATCAAAGAATTAAGTACACTGATATTCGTTTAAACGGCAAGGAATACTATCAGACTCTATATATTGAAAGACATGTAATTTACGGACTCAATGTTGGAATGAGCATATTAAATTGTAAACATCTACTTAAATTGTTCTCTTACTAAGAATGCTAAACATCTTATTAGTATAGCTATTAACATGATCCCGTCTTGTCTTCTCTTATCTTCTTTACTATTAACTAAATATGAATGCATGATTTTTTTTTGTATTCCTCACACGTGTTATTATTTTGCATGCTAACAGTGAGAGAGATGAGTTGTGAGAGAGATGAGTTGTGATAGAAAACAATACTCTCAACTTTATTGAGATTGATGGAATAGAAAGTATAAAGTTTAAAAATTTGAAGTAGCCGTATTTCAGTACATTGAAATCTTAACTAGTTGGAATACATTTACAATTTTTCTCCGTATACTAGTATCAAAAAGGCTAACTTGAAAAATACCAACAAATCCACTTTCAAAAAAGCTCTAAGTATCGTCTCTTAGTTGGTTTTAGTTTTTAGTATGAAATTCGCTAAATATTGAGGTATACTCATGTTTATTAACAAAGGTTTTTAGGCTAACGAAAAATTTCACTCATTGATATAGTTAAATTAGGAGTTAAACAGGATTCATATGTACGTATAGTTCTATGTATTTTTTATAAGGTGTACAAAACGTAAAATTGAAGTGGATTTTATTTTTTCATTTATCTATGTATATGATTTCATAGAGCTTGCAGAGCTAATTATGAATATATAATTATTGTTTCAGTTAGGTTACAATTTCGCTGCAATAAACCTTCAAATACTGATCATATCTCTTATATAATCAAAATCACTTTTTTTTCTAAACTCTTTCAAAATATTATTTTTTTTTAAATTCAGCATCAAAAACCGAGTAGAAAAAACTATTTTCTTACATTTAAAATCAATAATACAAAAAATTGCTATCAATATATGTAGACTTATAGTATGTATATAATTATAAGCATATTTGTAAACCTATGTAGTTTTTTGTGACAGAAGAAAAGATCAAAATGTCTTATCTCATTTGAATCAGTCGGTTTCGCGCTACAAAAGTAATCATTTAATTCTTTTTTTTCAGATTTTGTTTTATTGTTGAGAAAATTGAACATTTCCGTGTTTTAATAGTAAAAAGACCAAAAATAGCCTTATTTATTGCAGTTTTTTTTTTTATTAAAATTCAGTTGAAAAACAAAATCAACAACATATTCAGAATCAGCGTGAAAATCTACATTGGACCATATATATATTTTAACAAAATCACTTTTCCAGAGGAAAATGTACTGGTACTCTGCATTCGTACTTTTCTTCTGAAATTTCGTCTGTAGTTCTCCGAGGTATGGATTTTCTGTTTGATATAGAATTTGATGAAGTGTATATGATCCAATGCATATTATCACACTGATTATTAATATGACATTTATTTTGTTTTTCAACTGAGTTTCAACAATAGAAGCTGCAATAAGTGAGGCCATTTTTGACCCATTTCTTTTTACTAAAACAAAGAAATGTTCGATTTTATCAACAATAAAACAAAATCTGAAAAAAGAATTAAATGAGTACTTTTGTAGTTCGGAGCCGACTATTTCAAATAAGATAAAATATTTTGTCATATCTTCTATCAAAAAAATCCAAATCGGTTCACAAAAGTGCCTATAAAAACGTGCTGTAAGTCTCAATATATTGATAGCGGTTGTTTGCATTATTTATTTTAAATGTAAGAAAATAATATTTTTCTACTCAATTTTTGATGCTGAATTTAACAAAAAAAAAACTATTTTGAAAAAGTTTAGAAAAAAAGTGGTTTTGGTTATATAAAAGGTTTGATCAGTATTTGAAGGTTTATTGCAGCGAAATTGTAATCTAATTGAAATAATAATTATATATTCATAATCAGTTTTTCAAGCCCTACGAGACTATATATAGATGAATGAGAAAATAAAATCTACTCTAATTTTGCTTTATGTTGCATCTTATTGCTTTGGTTAGCAATGACAAAGAGAAAAAATTCTACTAGCAACTTTCTTTTATTCTCGCAAGAAAAACAAAATATAAAATGAGCTCGAGCCCTTTTGAAAAATATATCATTATATAGTTCATGTCGAGATGAATTGACTGATATATTTGTTCTTTTCAGATGTGATCGATTTCACAATAAAGAATGAGCTTTTTCTAAAATATATTGCAATTTTCTTATATAAACAGAAAAATTAGGAAAAAAGATTATATGGAATGACAGATTTAGGAACAAACTAAAACTCAATAAAACTCGACCTCCTCTCCACTGTTACACTTCTCTTAAGTGATTAGTTAATCATTTGGTAATTAGTTTTGTCTCAATAGATAGAACAAATTTGCTCTTTTCTGTCAAGAACACATGACTTTTCTCTCATGCATATATCTCAAATTATCGAGTAAATACCAAAAAATGTTTTTTTTTTCTAACAGAATAAGAACACCTGACTCTATAATAAAATATATTACTCAGAAATCGTCTAGGATAATTTTCAGTTTTACGTATCAATCTTGATAATACATTTCAATTCACTTATATATGTACGATAATGTCATGACTTTTATAAAATATGTAAGAGATTATATTAAAACTATACATTTTAACTAAAATGCATTTTTCTTACACAATAATCAATATTAAAAGTAGCTTCCAGCAAAGAATAACTGAATAGAGATGACCTTTTTTCTCTTCTAATCTTCCATATTTACAGTATATAGAGATATGTATATATATACTCATATAAGCCTCATTCTGCTTTCATCATTAGATTCATTTGGCATGCATCATAAACAACAAGTATAGAGTCACTCGGTTGTTATTTTCTTTTTTTTTTGCTTATGTCTTCAAA